AATACCCGCTGAGAAATGCCGTGAAATGCTGACCTGATATGAACTCCCTCTGTCAGTTCACATTTATCCAAACCCTGGGCAGGCACTGTGCCAGATCTGGGATCATCCATCCCCCTGCATCTGGCAGAAGGGTGACACAGAAATCCCAGCAGAGGCCACCCTGTGTGCCCCAGCTAATTCCCCACAAAGGCAGAGGGTGAGCCCATGCCCGACTCACACCAAGTCAGGACAAGTGTTTGATAAGGGAGCGCAGCACCCTGCTCCTGCCATCCTGGAAACACAGCAGGGTGCAGGGAGAGCTTCCTCTCCCAGCTGTGTCTTGGGATTCCTGCCCTTTGCCATCTTATTATGAGCCAACAAAGATCCTGTGTAGAGGGAGGAAGGAGAGTGCTCAATAGGACAATTACAGACTATATTTAGAAATTATTTTCCTAAGCAGGGTCAACCAACCTGCTCATCCCCAGGCACTGAGGAGGAAAAACATCTTATGTAGCATATATTGTAAAGAAACCACCAAATAAAGCATGGAGGACAAGGCCAAAATACGCATGGATTGTATTCTGAAGCAGCAAAACAAATTCTCCCTTTGTAGGGTCTAGGGAAGTCTTGAGCATAGTCAGCTTTTGAAAATCATTTAAATAGTTGTCATGACTCTATTCTGACCTTCTGTCTGTTAATTTGGCTCCCGTGATGCCTGAATAGCTCTCCTGAAGCCAGTTTGCTGTCTATTGTCTGTGCCTGATGAGAGCTGTTATTTCTGATTAGATGCTTTCCCTCTGTATTCCGGATCTCTGCCCTTCGTTTCTCTCCCTCAGCACTAGTGGTGTCTGATGTGAGTACCACTCCTAGCCTGCCCTGGTGAGTAAGAACAAAAGCAAGAATGTGTCACACCTGAGCCAAAGGCTGCAACCAAGGGACCACAACCTCACATCTGGAAGTGCCTTTATGTTGTGCTACTCCCATGCTCTGGAAGTTCTGTTGGATTTAGTATTTCTAAGCGAAATACATTTCCATCATTCTTTTATTCATAAAACGTCCCACTACAAAACCAAGCCAGACATGCCAGGCTGTAGCTCTCTGTGAATTTATTTTATAGCATCACAACTTCCTACAAAAAGGGTTTTAAAGGAGATGGTTCCATGTGTGTTTTTAAGGTAGGTGCAAGCCTGGTCTCCCAACACCTCCCTTAAGCACACTTGGACTATGACTCTGGAAAGGGAGAGGCATAAATCAGCCTTTGCAGAATCACAACTCTTATACCCTACCAAAAAAAGTGAATTAATCTCATTTTCCCTTTTAAGCACAACCAGCAATTGGCTGGAGAAAACTGAAACACATCTGTACCCAGAAAAGAATTATCCTGCCTCTCCTGCCATGCTAGGCCAGCATTCAGCACATCAGGGCAGCTTGCAAGCAGGGCACCAAAGCACTGGGGTGTCCCACCCTCCCTCAGCCAGTCTTTTTCCACCAGGTGTTTCCAGTTTCCCCAGTCTCAGCAAAAAGGGAATCTCTGGGCTTTGAGCACATGGAAGCCTCTGGCACAGAGAAGGAATAGCAGCTCAGGAGAGAAAAGAGCTGGAGAATCTCCCAGAACAACAAGTAAACAAAATGGGATTCTCAGCTGTGAAAAATCACAATCATGTGCTGTTCAGCAGCCCAGCCATAACCCTCCATCACCAAGGGCGTTGTGATACAGGATCACAGGCTTTTGGCTCACAAAATCACCTTGCTCACCCCTTGCCTGTATCTTGGAGGCTCCACCACTCCCTTCACGCAGGGGGTGCCCAGGGCACTTCATGCTTCCAATCCCTGACAGCTGCTGAGGTGTTTGACACCATGCTCAGCACGTAGCTGCTGCCACCACAAGGCAACAGAAGGTGTTTGGACCTCAGGGAGTGGAAACCCTTCCTCTCTACACAACTGTCTCAGTCTACAAGGCAGGTGTCTGCTAGGGAAGGCAGAAAGCCTCCCTTGGAATGGAAAATGCAAACCCCCCTCCCCCCAAATTGTTATAATTTTTTAAATTAAGGGGCTCTCAGGCAACGATATGGGAATAGGAATAAGTTCTTTACTAGTATGTATAACAAGGCAAACAAAACAATGAGAACTATGGTATTAACAACAAACAGAGCCAGGGACCCCAAAAACCAAAGGAGATTCCCATCCCAGCCATCAGTGCTACTTAGCAACTCAATAGGAAAAAATTCCACAAGGAAAGAACAGAAAAAAAACCAACCCCCAACAACAACCACAGCAGTCCCACTCAGATTCCCCTCCATGCAAGCCCCTGGTTGTTGTCAGGCTAAAACGAGCCACGGCTGGTTTTGAAATGCCAGCCCTCCCCAAGCAGCACATAACACCCCTTTAAAATGAGATCTAGAAAATTGCTCTTGCTACTATCCAAGTGTAAACCCCGTTGGACCACAGTGGAGGATCCCTGAAGGCTAACTGTGTTATCTTTGTCTATAGAAAACAATTAGAAAGCTGATTTTAAAATGCTACAATTAAAGGCTTAATATAAATGCATTTCTGATGCTATCAGCAAGTGCACAGACTTGAAGAAGCTTTCAAAATACCAATAACTTCAAGCAAAAAACCTGGATTTGTTTTTTCTTTTTGGTGAAGGGACTATGGGCAATGTATCAACAAGTGCACAGACTTGAAGAAGCTCTTTCAAAATACCAATGACTTCAAGCAAAAAAACTGGATTTGTTTTTTCTTTTTGGTGAAGGGACTATGGGCAATTTACACACTTTCTAATTCTTAAAAGTACTTTATCCATGCTATGCATTTTATGTGCTAGAATTCTATACACAGACTGTAAAAATATGCATAAAGCCTTGTACAAATTTACTGTTCTCTCTATAGATTCATGGCTGAAGATAAAGCATTCTAGCAGAAAAGTTTGGGGGCAGGGCACACAAAATCTGATGAGCAGGAGTTCTGTAAAATTTAATAGAAACATTTCTACCTTTATTTCAGATAATCAGATTACAGTGGGATTTCAAAATTAATTTCCCGTTCTTTGGCAGTTTTATGTTGTGTTTTGGGAATAATCATACAAAATGAACACTACAAATGAAAATTCTGAGTTTATTGAGGTCACTAGGGCAGCTCCTACTGATTTCAATTGGGCCAGGGCCTCATTTTATGAGGAAGTCTTGGGGAGAAAATAAATTCAGTCTTCTAGAAACAGAGCAACATGCCAAAAAGCCTTCTCTTAATTTTATTTTGAACATGGTCACACTGCCATCTGAGAAAGCAGCTCCTTTCATTGCCTTCAGGAAATCAGCAGGTAGTCCTGCTGCCACTGATTCCCTGCAAGCATGGAAGGACAGGCTGGCTTTCAAATCTGCTGCTTTTTACCGTGGCCAAATACTGCTGATGGGCTCATGTCCCACCCTGGGCCAGGATCTTAACTTCCCCCAAGTGCTGGGCTTGGGAGGTCCCAAACACCCTCTGAGCTTCCTTAAGCTTGTCCTGGGCTGCAGGATAGCTCCTCTTGCTAGGCCAGGAAATGCTGTGTTCCTCCACTTGTGAGCTGAGTATTCAGAGCCTGTTTTAGACAGGATCTTGCCCTCATGAGAAGCAGCAGCCACATGCTCCTCAGCAGTTTCCAACTATGTGGGAGCAAGGAGCCTTCTCCAGCAAGCAGGGTATTACCTGCAAGACAAACTGAGTGCACCTTTGGGGTCTAATTCCTCCCAGTCAGAAACATCCTAGCACTCTTTCCTTCCCCTTCAAACTTCTTTTTTTTTGCTGGCACAAATACACACGTGATTCTCTGCCTCACCAAAAAGGGTGCAATACTGACACTGCTCTCCCTAAAATCAATTTCCAAAGCAAGTGTCCTATCGCTCCCATCATATTTCAGGCAGAAGCAAAGGAGAAAATCCCTTTGGATGAGACAGGCCATGCTTCATTCATTCATCTTGTCCACTTGGTTCAAACCTGCTTACCAAAGCATCTGAGGCTGCCAGCAGCACCAATCTCCTCTGCCACACCAAGCTAGGCTGCTGCTGCCAGTGTGCTCCTTGCTGCACCACGTTACGCTGGTATCTGCCACACATTTAAGAGCTGGTGCCATTAACTAACACAGAACAAGGCACAGGACAGTTCCTGCTCGAAGCCACTTTCAAATGAGAAGTGCTGGGCACCTAAGACAACTTGGATCCAGAAGGGAATGGCGTGGTGCCAAGTACTGAAGTAAAAATTCTAGAAAGACAACTTACCCAAAGTGGCAAATTTAATGCCTGTAAACATGCTTCAGTCAGAATTTTGGATGAACTCTGAAGGTATTGATTTTTTTCTGGGGTAGATTTCCTCAAATTTCCATATCTCTTTATCAGACTGTATTTTTTATCAGACAGTATTTTTTATCATTGGCCAGTATATGGAAGGTCCTAGAGATGGACATCATGGAAGTGTGAGCCTTTAAAAGAAGTGACCTTTAAAGTCAGTGAAGTCTCAAATCTCAAATCTCCTGGAAGAGAATTGTTAATACTGAGAATTCTGAATAATATTATATAATTAACTTTTCAGCAGAGAACAGCCTCTTGGCACTAACCATGTCCTTTCTGATACATCAGAGACTGAAAAGCATGGCCTTTCCTGTGCCAACTGTCTTTTAGAATAAACAAAAGACCCTCCCCCTTCATCTCCACATGCTTAATAATATTAATAGAACATGAAAATATTAATGCTAGTAGACAAGGTCTTTCATAAAGTACATAAATGAATTCATTCACTCCAGCTCATTAGCTTAATTGTCAACCTTTTTACAATGCAACTGATTAACATTTTCATTGTTCTTCTTTGATTTTCCTTAGACTTTTGCTTCTTTGGGGATCAAAAGACCTCTGAATGCATAAGCTCAACAAATATCCCTGCACAACTGAACAACAATAGGAAGTGTTAAAAGAGATAACTAAGGACTTTCACAGCTCATGCTTCAAAGATACTGCAGGAAACAACCATTTAAGAATCATTTTTATTTTTATGTTTAACGTGATTATACACATTCATGAGTCCAACAAGATCTGCACTGTGACATTAAAGATACAGTACAATAACATTCAACATGAGGTACTTTATATATTTATATATATCTGTCCTTTATAAATAATGCTGTAAGCCTGCTAAGTCAAACACTGCTTCAGCACAAATGGGTGCTGGGACCTGAAGTGAGCCGAGTTTATCACAACAGAAAAACAAAACCCAAAATAGTTCAGTGCAATAAGTGTGTAGAATTTAAAGTGTTTACTTAAATACTATTTTAGATATGCAGAAAGTATATTACACTATACTCTCTTATCACAGATTCCTCTCACCAGCAAATCAAAGATACAAGTAGCAGGGAACAGTTTAGACAAAATCTGTGAGGTGATCTCTATTGACATTACGTTTACATGCCAGGCTGATATGGCTGATGCTTGCAAGATGTCAGTCAATGTACTCAAGCTTGGGTGCTTCTGCTAAACCAACCAAATCCACATTCAGACACCGACTGAAGGGCCCTGATGTCCCAAGGTGAGTGGCACTGGCCACCTTCTTACATCCCAGTACTTGTTAGTGTCACAAAGTGCTCAGAAGCAAGTTATGCTGTGAGCATCAAAAGGTGGTTTGGGTGCCTTTTGTCTGATCAGCCACACTTGAAACCGTTCCCTGCACCAGCTCTCAAAACCCAAAATGGACTCAGAGGAATTAAGCTAGAAGTTGCTTTCATCCTACTTCGTCAAAAAGACTGCATAAAAGAATCACATAAGAACAATAGTTAAATAACAGCTCATTTTCTGCACATTACAGCTACAGAGTGTTCTGATCTCTGAACATCTCTTCCAGACAGTGAATGTAGCAGATATGTCACCTCTATTTGCAGGTAAGTCAAAACAAATAATAAATTCAAAGTGAGAACCCAAGACCAGTTAAACCAATGCAGTACTCTGTGACTTGTCCCACCAGCTGTGGCACATGTTTTTTTTTTACCAAACAAATGGGAATGCAGCTCGCTACCACAACCTGTCAATCTGCTTATCACTCTGAGTAATTACATCTGCATCAGCCACTTGCTGTACAAAAATTTAATCAGCTGATTAGCATCTTTCTCTGCTTTGAAATGTATCTAAATAAATGGAACTGCTGCTCAGATGTTGTCTAAAAGTAGATGACCATTACCTCATCACAATATCAGAATCCTTTCTACAATCTCTTCAGCAACTCTTTCTCCACTCCATACCATTTATACTCTTGTCTATTTTCAGTTGTAGATCTAAATATAAGTAACTGGAGGTTTTTATAAATCTCTCCCTGGGAGTTTTCCATGGAGCATTCTGTTTAGATTTCACAAACAGTCTGGATTATGTACATCTGTTACAAAAAAAAAAAAAAACAAAACATTTTTCTATGTATTTAGAGGGTATTTACATTTCAGAAAGAGTGCTGCTTACACACACATGTATGTGTGTATACAAAACAGTAAACGCTAAGATGGATGAAAGGCATAAATCCTGTGGAGTACTTTTTTACCTGGCTCTCCTTTTATTACCTAGAGAGAAGATCTGGGCTTTGACTACACTCCACTTTTCCTTACTTCAGATGGTATTTTGGACACTGCAGAGATGTATTTTGGCACTTTCTGATGGCTGGGGGCCAGGATTCCAACCATCAAGCAACACTTAGAGTAACAGTCTTAAACTGGTAAAATAATATGAGAAAAACATTTTTATTACAGAACTGACAAGTGAATTTAGGGTTAAGCTACATTAATGTGTGGATATACTGTAATATTAATCTTCAGCAGGTCTAAAGAATCATTTGGTCCTCTCATTTTGTTAAAAGATACGCTACAAACAGAACCCATTTCAGAGGTGAAGCAGGATGCTTTACAATGGGCAGTGCAGCCTTTGAGGAACAACTGTCCCCACTGCAGTGATGAAGGATTTTCTCATGTTTCAATAGTACCTGTAGTTCTTATTTATACTGGTTTCCTCCCCTGATACAAGGAGTATCCCTCATACTTTTCCAAAAGTGATACAGACATGTAACTTCCTGTTACATCATCAAAAATGATATGGACATGTAACTTCCTGGGGAGAAAAGCAAGGAAAGGAAAGGAAAGGGAACCTTTTCAGGCAAAGAAAAGGTTCCAGACCACATAATCCTCTGATTGATGTGTAGCCATAAGCAATTGCAAGAGCTCCAACAATAACCCATTAGGGGAGACTTCCTTCCCCTCACTGCCATTGGATGGTATACACTAAGTGTAACGTGACCACAGTTGGGAATCTTCTGTCTTCAGAAGATTCTGAACTGTTAATTTCAACTGGTAATAAAAAGAAAAAAAAATCTCATATTACAGAAAAAAAAATCCAAGTTAAGATTGATACATTATTTTGTTCCTCTAAAATCTGCCTCTACCATATTTAGGAAGAAGAAAAAACCCACCCAAAACAAACAAAAAATTATCCTGCACTAGATGATTTATATAAATTCCCATTTATTTAGCAAGGGTTCAAAGAAATGCCATTTAAAGAGCAGATCAACTCCAGTGTAGCAAAACCTGGATCATGGGAGTAGAGTTTCAAGAGCTGCATACACAATTTGAACACATGCAAGTACTTCCTTGCCTGCAAGGTGGGATTCCTACAAAATGAACTCCAGGGGTGGTAACTTGCCAAGCCCACCTCCCTTTCTCACTGTGAACATGTCCATGCACTGGGGATATGGCTGGTATGCCATGGAGCTTCCTGAAAGATGCTTCCTTCTTCCCATCTTCCCCTGGAGCCATCCCAAAGAGTTGGCTACAGGAGAATCTCACAGGATGAAGGTTTAAACTTGTGCTTTTTCTGCTTTTAACTGAAGGACTTCTTTCAGCCCCCATGGTCAGAAGCAGCTTGGTTCACTGGAATCTCTAAAGTCTGCAGAGCAGACAGCAGAGAGAGCTGTAAAACAAGTCTTTGTTTTCTATCCCTACCTCCCCAAGACAAGCAGAAAGCAGAAAATGGAGAAAGAAAAATGGGTCAATGAAGACAGTGTTTAGTGAGATACAAGAGGGGGATGTCCTCACCGGTGCGTCAAAGAAAGGGTCAGCATCACCAGCAAACAGGCACCCCCTTTACAAAGCCTTTAAAATTTGCTTGTTTCTAAGAGCTTCCAGTTTAAATATTACACTTAATTACCAATGATGCTACAAGTACAGCAAGCCAGGAACTTGCCCACAGCATTTAGTTACATATTCCCTGTACTGATCACATATCTGCAGATAAAAAGCTAAGAATCAGTAGGCCTGAACTAGACAGGTTCTTCATAGCAAAATGCTTTGTATCCACACACTCCCATTCAAGCGTAAAATATGAGTTCAGGAATTTGTCCTCCCTGTACCCCTGTGCCATTTGTACTGTCCGAGGAGCACTGAAACTGAACAGTCACCTTCCCACACTGAACTTCTGTCATTCCTTCTTGTCCAAAATAGCTGAGTTCGTTACCATCCAGAATCACGCTTGCTGTGTAAAAGGTGTCAGGCTCAATCTGCACTGGATACTCAAACCACACGGGAAAAGTGTTACTAGAACCATCCGAGAAGTATTTACTCAAGTTCTGGCCCAGGATAACTCCTTGTCGCTTCAGTTCAATCTTAGCACTGTACTCTGCCGACCCACAGCTGGAGCCGTAGAGCCCAAAGCCAGCAATAAACACTCTCTTATCGACAGCAAACTGGATGCTGTCGCAGCGGCCCCGGTAGCGCCACTGGTTGCTGCGGTACGCGCAGGACTGGAAGCGGTGGCAGCGCTGAGGGACCAGGCCTTTGCGGGGCTTGCTGACAAACTGCAGCTCCGGCTTTTTGGCAGCCGTGTACCAGAGGAAGATGTCGTTGGTTTCGTTGAGAGTCAGGATCCCGGACTGAGCAGCGCCGTTGGCGAAGTCGTCGAGGGCCATGGTAGGGATGCGGATCAGGTAGAGAGCCTTGCCCAGCACCTTGCGCTTGTTCTCTATGGTGGCCGTCAGCTCTTGTCGCTGGCACTCCACTTCAGCCCAGTTCAGAGCTGCCTCGAAAACAACAATTTCTTTGGCATTCAGAGTCTCCCTTCGGAGAATGCTTTCAAGTGTCTGAAAATCAATGTCACAGAAGCCCTCAGACTTCAAAGCGAGCTCAGCTTGGGCATCAATCACTTCCCAGCAGCGCTGGGTCAGGTCAGGTTCCTCAAATAAGCAGCTCTGGGAGAGCAGCACACAGGCATTCTTTGCACTCAGACTTGTCTCGAGAAAGTTAACGCAGGCACGGGCCAGGTGAGGGACAATGTACTTCTTGGCAGCATAAAGAGTGGCCAGGACAGTGTCTGCGGCCAAATCAATCTCATCACAATAGATGTACCTGAAATAAAGCACACAGGTGTAATGCTGCTGCTTAACGCAACTCGTTTGTCAACAAACTCATACAAAATCATGAACAAAGAATATTTAAATGGCTCCACGTTAAAATCAAGCAGTGCTTTGGGGAGTATTGATTAAGCCCAGAAATAAAGTACAAAAAAATTCAGATCTTATGTTAAGATCATGGAAGAGAACGGGTTTAAATCTAAGGTGAATCCAACTTTCCATATGGAGTGCATGCTATGAGACAATTGTTTAAAAACTGTGGCCCCTGCAGCTCTGTGCTCCTTCCACACAGGTCCTGGCTCCCAGGCAGGAGCTCCTGCAGGGCTGCCTCACTCAGCTACCACAGGAGTCTGGAACATGTGTTACCTAGAGTCCCTGGGCTGCATGTCCCCTGATGGTGAACCATGGTTTAATGAGGTGTATGAATCAAATGCATGAATGGTAACAAGTTTGTAGACAGTAACTAGGTATTCCAAGAAGAGAAATGCTATTCAAGTATATCAGGTGCTGTCCACTTCTGTAACTACTGGATTGGGTTCTTTTCAGAGGTGGCTTTTTTGTTTGGGCTCATTTTTTTGGTTGGTTTTTTCAAAGGGTTATGAAACATATTGGAAATGGAAGATTTTCAGGTTTTTAATGCTCACAACATCCTAACTCAACTAGCACAGCATTTTCACTCAGTCTCACTGCATAAGGATGAAAAAAGCTTTATTGCTATGGCAGTGTGGTGGAAGAGATGAAGGTGAAATTCTATTTATGTGACTAAACTGCTGGGATTCATTGCTCAGAGAAATGAAGCATTGTACAGTTTGTTCTTTTCAATATCTCATGCTTCAGGGCTCCATTTGCAGCTGGTGAATGCAATGTGCTAAAACCATGCCAAATGCAATTTCACTCTTCACAGGGATAAGCAAGTCTTGATGGTTATGGCTGATAAAAGTGTCTTCCTCCAGAAAAGCTAAAGTTGTATGCAACCCTGTACTAATTAAAATTTTCAAGTTAGCAGGTTTCCCTACACAATGAGTTTTCTGCAGAACAGATGTGCCTATAAAGAGAACTTAGTACCTACACTGATCTGATTATAGTTGTAAATAGCTATTTGTATTTTTGCAGCTGTGAGATAGTATCCTCCATGCTGCACTTGGAAAACATGCACTGAGGAGATACTGCTCCAGCAGTATAAAATCTAAGAGGTTACAGAGAAAAAAGAAAACTTACATAGAGCCAAGCTTATTTTTAGTGTTTATCACTTGGTTTCAGCTTATTTGTGAAACCAAAGAACCCATTTGTATATCAATGGTTACAGGCTTAGCTCCTTTAGTACCCAAAAAAATTCCATTTTCAATTAATTCGTTTTTATGATTCTCCTCACTGCTCTCCTACTCTTTCTTCCCTTGTATTACTTCTCTTTGCCTGCTAGTACAACAGAGAATGACATCTGTTTCAAATCGACATAGTTCAGAAGTTGCTATTTTAATATTCCTGAAAATAAAGAACTAATATCACTGATGTACAGCAGACAAGCACAGATCGACTGTCAGCAATACTCCACACCTCTTACTCTGCCAATGCACCTCGGCTCTGGTTTGCAATTACTGATATTCCAGTTTCACCCTGTTCTCAAACACAGGATTCTGCCAGACCACAGGGTTTGATTGTTTAGTAACACATTCAGCCTGGGATGAGATGAGATCACAGTTCTAACTTGAACAGTCAAGACTAAGATAAGATGTAATACATGAATGCACTGATTCACTTTGGCAGCTAGATTATGAGTTTAACCCTGCTTTTAAAACTGTAGAGAACAGTCAAAGCAGTTTTACTGGGAGAATAACTAATATCTACCCGTTGTGGTATTTCCTATATTACACCTGGCAATACCTTGTTTTTTGTCAGAATTCCCACTGTGTTATAAAACACAAAAAATATTTATGCCATCAGAATTCTTTGGCCCAGGGGGAAAAATCCCCAAATTTCTTGAGCAAGATGTCAAAACCAAAAAATCCAAGCTAAATATATTTTCTGACAACGTTTATGATGCAGAAAGAAGCCTGAGAAGGAGAAGCTGCTTTGGCATAGCTGAAGTCTTTCCTTCTGTAGCAAGACAGCCTTGCCATCCATGGCTCACAGCAGTCGCAGGAAACACTCAGAGGGATGGTCCCAGAGTGAGAGGAGTGAAGGGGACAGTGGCTCCCCCTAAGCTCCACATACAGTGGTTCCTGTGATTAGGGGATGCTGCACTGCTGAGCAGCATCCCTGTGCCTTCCCTGCACCATCCCAGTGTCACACACACTGGGGCACTCTGCAGCCTCAGACATGCTGCCTCAGGGAAGACAGCATTGGCAAGGTTACCTCAACAGCCACACAGACCACAACCTTTCTCTGGTCTTTAGGGTTTTTTCAATAAAAGCTGAGAAGGTGAAGAATCCCATGGTTCTGGCCATGCTCTCATAGATAGTTTCCTAAATTGCCATAGGCTAAATAATATGCCAAGACCTAGATGTCAGTATTGCTACTCTCTTTTCTAGGCTTTCTTTCTGCACACATTTCTTAATGATAAATTCAGAAAGCATTCAGTTTTTATACAGCACATCGTGTTTAGCCACGGTGAAATAGATTTGCTGTTCAAAAAGAAAGGGGGGCTAGAAGAACCCAAGTATCTTGTATTAGTGATTTGTAAAATGCAGCTTGAAAGTGAAGTGTAAGTCTGAGCTCTGCCACAAAATCAAAAAGGCTGAAAGCAAAGATCCATAACACACCTCCCTACATAATGTCACATCTTAACTTTATATTCCAGGTCTACAGAACATCTGTGGAGCTCTCCTGGCAGTCACCAATATTTGCACAGAGCATTCCTGATGTTGATAATAACCTATAAAAACTCTATATGCAACTTTGAATGTTCATTTATGATGCCAGTGAAATGTTAAAACTGAAAAAGAAACTCTTCTGTAATCACAAGTTAATCAAAACAATCTATGAAATACAATAAATTGCTAGCTAGTGATTATATCATTACGTGCAAGAAAACCTGCAGCATATTAAAGGGATCACTATCAGATAGTGATGTATTTTTTGTATAGGAAAGCAACAGCATTTATTTAAGCTGAAGGAAAAAAAATCAAAAACTCAAAGCCATAGCATTTCTGTGATAGGGCATTTCTCCTTAACAATCAGAATTTATAGATACATTCAAGGACAATTCAGCAGGGAAGCTGCTTCATTATGCCCATTTAGGAAAAGAGAGCATTTCTTATGCAGTTTGCAAGAAGAAAAATAATGATCACGTAAACTGACTCGTTTTCCTTGTTAGATAAAACCCCCTATTCATGTAAACAGCCTTTTTATCACTTTCCAAACACATCAATATGATACATAAGGAGAAATTTATTTTTCAGAGGCTATACTGAATAACTTAGGGTCATTTTTCTAAGACAAGACCTGCATACTGCAGGTTTATAAAAAAGCTGGAACAATGTCAGTCTACAAACCCAGCAATTTACTGGGTCTGAGGGGGCTTTGTGCATGCATTTTTAACTTTTCTTTATGCTTGCAAAGTAGAACAGTTGGTTTGGGGTTTTTTGTTACAGCTGACAAATCTTTTTAGTAACTCCATTCCTTTGTGTAACATACAGTGACAAATCAGATCGATAGGCATTACAGTACACAATGTGCCCAAAGATCCCCTGTCGAAGTCATTATTTACAGCTGCCTACATTAGTCTAATATGTGTGTGCCTGGAAGTATGGGGGGAGAGCAAAAGTGAAAGTTTAAAACACAAAAAGAGGAATATTTCAAGCAACTGCTTTCTTTCTGTTTATATGCAACTTCAGCTATGGCATTGGCAGTATTTGTATACATCAGACAGGAACACATATCCAGCAGATGAATGATGCTTACTTCAGCATTGCAAGAAAAGCAGCAGGCTCAACATCTGGTATACGGATTTCATCTTTGTCCTCAGCAAGCTCTCCGTAAAACATTGCATGGAATACAGAGCTCCCAACAGCCAGGACATACTGTTGAGAAAGGGAAATCTTATTTCATGCTTTGAACTGAAAACACTGCCAACACAAACAATGTGGGAGAGCCACTCTGAGCAAACTGGGCTGCACTGACAGGCTCTACAGACACACTTCAGTAAGAAATTAAGTCCAAGTTAAGAACAAGTTACACATTTTCCTTGTATTTTACTCTCCTGGGCATTGATGCATTAGCTACTGGAAAACGCTCACCTCCACCACAGAAGTTAACTATTTCTAGGAAATCTCAAGAGCAGTATTAATCAACAGCACAAAGCAGTATTCCTAACTTCACTGCCTTAGCCCAGCAAATGTGCTGTTTAACCAAAAACACAAAGAAAAGCCAGGGAGAGACCATCCCACTGCATGTGGCCTTTCCAAACACAGACTGCTGCCTGTCCCAGAAGAGCTGAGCCTCCCACGCTCTGTCCTGCTGTAACTGTGGGAGCTCTCTCTGGCTCTCCCCACCCCAGCAGATCATGCAGCTGTTGCTTACTTTGTGTCCTGGCAGCCGCTGGGTCCCACCTGGTGGCCCGACCACAAAATGAACATCTGCCATCAAGTCATTGTTGAACATCACTGCATTTCTACAAACAGAGGTAGCATGTTAATTTGTGGCACCCGGGAACTCTCTCTGCATGTCCCAGATGCAAGAAATTTGATTTTTTAACAACTTCAAGTTGCTTGTTAGAGAGAAGCAGGTCACACTTTGCTTCCAGCTACTTTACACATCATTGCACAAATACACCAGAGAAAGCACTAAGGAGGTAAAAGTGTTTCTGGTGTGTGTGGGTGCAATGAAACAAACCCCCAAACTTCTGAGAACTTTCCAAGAAGTGGAAATCAAAGTCCAGAGCATTTATCACTGAAAATCCCCATTAAGGTCTAAAAGGAAATCTTTATGGGTGTGCTGCAGCTTTCAGCAACACTTTTATTAACTCAAACAGATGCCCTGACTGGAAAACAGATACTGAAATATTTTTCTATTACCGAAATTCTCATTTCCCACACACATATAGGGAGAAAAAAAGCCCAAACAAATAAAATATAACCATGTTTTCTTCAGCAAATAAATGCATTCTGGACATTTTGCTACTTTTCACCTCTCCATTCAAACACCAAAAAAACTGCCCTGAACTTACCTCTCTCTGATGGTTGGATAAAGTCCTTGCCAATTAGGTGCAGGAATAGTGTTGTTGTTATTGAGATTTTGCTGATGGTACTGCTGGACAGCAGTTGTATTAGTATTAGCTGGTTTCTTTCGGGGAAAAATATCAGCAGCCATCTTCTTCTTCTTTTTGGTCTTCAAGGTAATGATTTCATAGCAAACTGGAGGCAATTTGCTGTTGCTACTGCTGCTGCTATTTCCTTTCTTAGAGCTCTTCTTAGACCTGTTCTTGACTGTCTCTGGAAGCATCAAGAAGAAGGTGAGACATTTCATGTTCTTTCCTTTCTCATCTACCATCAGTATACCCGTGTGTGAAGACCGACAGCCTAACTAGCTAGGAACATTTAGGAACGTATGTGCAAGCTGTAACACCGAAAGCAGCAGAGCTGAGAGTCTGCTTCTTTTCCAGCAAGACAAGGTGACCTTTCCAGCACTCAGAGCAAGAAACTGAGTTTAAGTTTGATCCAGTACTTGAACCGTTAAATACATCCCCATCATTCCTGCCAGCTTTCTTTCCTTCCAGCTTTCCCGATCAGGAGCCGCCTGGCAGCGCTACAGCCGGGGCAGAGGGCAGGAGGAGCGCACGGCGGCAGTGCCAGGCTGCCGGCGAGCCCAAGTTGTGCGGGAAGGGCTGGGAGCGGAGCGGGACCGGCAGCCGAGCGGCCGGAGCCGGCAGCGCGGAGCCAATGGCTGCGGGCACCGAGCGCGATTGGGCTCGCACACAGTGACACCTATTGTAGCCTGCGCCGCTCCCGCGTTAAAGCCACAGCAGCGCTCCCGCAGCTCCCACGCAGCCGGCGGCAAGGATGGGATGGAATCAATGGCACACGCGGCTGCCCGGGAGTGCGTGAGTGTTTCTCTGTGTGCGAGCTCTCCTCGGCGCCTCTTCAATTTTCACAGGCGAAGCAATAAGAAGTTGAAATCAGGTAGATAGATCTATCTGAGTCTATTGCCGTGGGAGCTATTTCCACGGGCAGTCGATATTAGCACAGCTTCCTTTGCCTGTAGCATTCCCACAAATCCCTCCTGTAAGAGCTGTTCAGCGAGTGTGCGACAGATATCAGAACCGAATTAAAGCAATCAAGCAGCAGCACAGACAGCCGTGCAGCCAAACAATCCCTTTCAGCGCAGCTTCTACTCCAGTGCAACATGAACAGGGATGAGGTCACAGCTTCAGCTTTAACTCCTTCTGTTTCCAGATAACTTAACAGCCTTTGACAGGGGTCCCAAATCACTAAGCAGTGCTAATTAAGCCAGCTTACACCAGACATGGCTGCACCACATCAGAAGAAAACTTCTAGATGTGTAATCAGATTAAAGCAAACCAGAGTGAATATATTTAATCAATATTTCAAAGCATTAAATGAAAGGGTCTGAATGATTTAGAGAGTCTCAGGCAAAAATCACTCCTTGAGATGCAAACAGTCCGATTTTATTCACAAATACTTTCTGAAATAAACAGGATATAAGCTATGCCAACCAAACCATTTAAATAGGAAATAAGTCTAATTTTTAGTCATTAGTTTACTCAGAACTTAAATTTTGGTCAGATTTCTTTAATAGCAGGTCAAGTGTATAGAAAAACCACCAAGTAAGCATAGCCACTTAAAAACAAAAGCAGGGAAATAAAAAATACTTGGTAGGAGGTGTCAACATATCACACCTTAAAACACTGGGGAGCAGATAGTTAAAATATTATTTCATAATTACTTTCAGTTTTAAAGAAAAAACACTCTGCTTTCAAGCTAATTTAGCCACATTTTGCCTTAATTAGTTTAGCTGAACAAGAGTACAGCAGGGAAATTAAAGTGATAAAAGGTTGGTGAAGAAATCTTGTTGAAGCCCCTGACAAATCTGCCACTGACTCAAACAGAAATATTACTCAGGCTATTTATTCAGTCTCCATCCCAACTGCTTGAATCACAGCTGTGGCTGTGTAACACACACCCAGAATGTCTTTAACCTGAGAATGTGCTGGTATTTCAAAGATTACCAGGTCTCCTTGGGAGATGCTCCACACCAAGCACTCACTGCGTGCCCGGCCATCTGGAGGCTTTGCTGCAGTGGTTGGGGATGATGCCATTCCCAGACACATCTGTCCTCTCTGTCTGAAGGCTCTGCCCGTGGAAGGGGGAACAGAGGGAGACGTGTCCATGCCTCAGCTGCTACATTTCACAATCCAACATCTTAGTGCAAAATCTCCTTGACTGCTGCTTTAAAGGAAGATGGTGGGTTATGCCTGAAAGGCAGAGACACATTCCTAAATACATTGAGGGGAGGTTATGTAACTTACAAAGAAATTATTTCTAGCAACCTTTTCTCTCTCCTCCACACATTTTCTTTTTTATCTGCAATAGACTGATTAGGAAGGGAAACTAAAAACCTAAACCATATTGAACTGTAGAGAGGGAAAAGAAGGGGTAAAGGAGAAGAAACTCATCCCACAGATGGAATCTTATAACTGCTCACAGCTGAGTTTATAACGGGAACACAGCAGGTATTCCCAGCACAGAATTTGAGTTTGTTGAGTTTCTGTAAGTTTTTTTTTTCCCCTCTCCTTATGTAAATTTCCAGCCCTTCCAATTACAACAATAACCCTTTTGCCACTGCACAGGACAAACATTTCAAAAGGAAGAAATCTTTTAAAAACCTCTTAAAGATACAGGAAACCACAGACTCCAGAAAATCTGGTTCTCAGCATTGCAGTTGGCAGAAGGCAAAAGACAGCAGGGGTTGGGAGATTTGATTGTCATTCCACAAATCCATTTTATAGACTCCCAAATCATATAAAAATCAAGGTCTCTGCACATTTCTTCAAACCAATGACCAGGACAAATCCAAAGATTTCACACACACACCACATAAGGTCACTGGGAGGCTATAGGAGATAAAGAGAATGAGGGACAGACTGACCAGTTAACTCCATGTGGCAGAGACAGATTGTAAATGTGAATCCACCACCCTTTGATTTCTGGAGCACACCACACATACACAGCACGTTGTGCTCTCTGGGAAAGGAAAGGAGAGAGAAGCTGCAGCTGAAGCATGTTCTGCCTGAACTCAGAAGTGAGACAGACCCCAGTAGACAAGTATCTGCACAACAGGATAAAAAATCCAACCCAGTAAATAAAAAGCCATCTTTGCCTGCTCTTAAGCCACTCACCAAAACCTGGACTGCTCTAACTAGAAAATAGCACAGATTCCAGAACAGAACCTAAATAGATTTCGATTTTAATAGAATTCCTATGAAAAACTACAAACCTCTCACAGATTCATACCACCTTCCACTGCACTTCATCACCTCAGGAACTAAGTCTCCTAAATTACTCATTAGATGGGTGTGAAACAGGAAAAACAACCCCCAAAGAAGTAGTGCTATTCTCTGTAGGCACAGAGTTTGTGGTAATTGGGAGTGGGGCTGTGGCTGTGAAAAGAGGTGACCAGCATTGAAGGCAGTGAGCCATGGAGTGCCCAGGTGCACTGACCAAAGGGAACAGAGGGCACACTGGTGCAATGAGGGCTATAAAAGGTTGGGCTAAAGAACAACAAAGGCAGATGCCTGGAGCCTTCTGATGTGATGTGATGCTTCTCTGCATGGGTTGAGGCCTTCTGATAGTGTATGGTGATACTCTGTATCCTGGCTGTCTGGACTGAGGCATGTGCTGTGGCATACGCTGTGACAATTCTCACTCCCTATTCTGTCTGTTTTGGCAGCAGCTTCCATTTACTTTCATACAATGGTGTTTTGTTGTTTTACTATACAAATATCATTAATGAATTTAGACATCAATATGCTGGCAGTCAATAAAAACAACCCATGAACTGCTGCCTGTTGAAAGACCAGTCAAAATCCCCAGTTTAGATCAGTCTGTCTCCAACAAGAGGATCAAGGAAGGTCACCTTCTCTGACCCACAGATCTATCCATTTTTGAAATCTTATTACAATGTGCTCCTAATCTTCTTCAGCAAGTCTCATTTTTCTTCATTAATTATATATTAACAGAACTAAACTTCATATATACAACTGAGAAAATGGGAAATACAGTTCTTTGAAGGCACATTAATTTTTATTTTACAAGCAAAGTAGTCAGACCAGAAATATTTCTAGTTAAAGGAAATTCCATGCTTAAATCTTTACACTGGCCTAATGGGTATTCAAAATGCCAGAAGAATTAAGCAAAAGGCTATATTCCCAGTCTGAGATACTATACATCAAGTTACATGTCCCTTCCAAAATATTAAGAGCAGGTTAGGAGCTTTTGGAAATCAGTTTCTGACTAAACATTGTGAACTGAAGCTGGAATTTTGCTGTTCAAACCCAAGTGTGTGCAACACTCCTGCCATCCCAGCTTATTTATCCCTTAAGAACATAATATACCTTGTGAGGCACAGGAGTCACAGTAAAGCCCAGCTCTTGGTACAACTTTTAATAGCATGTAACTATTATAATTATGCCTTTCTAAAGGTAACTTCCAATAGGGAAATCAGTTTAATTTCCAGACCTGATGGGAGTATTCTTCCTCATACTTCATCAGTTTCTCCTGCTGCAATAGCAAGGATACCAAAGAGTTTCTATCTTTTTTCTCCTTCTAATAAGCAGAATTTTTGTACATCTCATTTAGAGGCCTGTTCCTCATGTAGTAACATGAGCTACACAATTCTATAAAAAACATGTTTTCATTAAAATTCCCAATTGTTTATTACAACCACATCATGAATAAAGGAAAGAATTCTTAGTAAGCAATGAGGAAATGCATACATTTCTTTTTCTGTAAATGTCTTCTTTGGCAGTTACTATGCCTATATGCAGTATTAACATTGTTTAAATCCTGAATTTCCCCCTACAAAGAAACAAATTTCAGATGATACATCTTGATTAACCAAAATAAATACACAATGTTACTGTTTAGCAAATCTACCTGTCAGCTACTAGCTTTCCTTGAATTTAAGTTAACTTCAAGCACTCATTTAAAAATGGAATATACATATTCAAAAATGAACTAAACCAACAGAAAACCTCTATAAACCAAACCCACACAGCTGTGGTGCCTTGTTCTGTTTACCTGTCTATCAATTATTTAGTCACTTGGAAGAGTCCTTTCCAATCACCATTCCAACCCTTTTGTTTGTAAAAACAAATTTGGAAAGGGCACTGATAGCTCTACCCTTCATTTCCTCAAGTAAAAAAATGCATTGCAGTGGACAAAAACTTCCAATCTCCTCTCTCCTAAGTTTCTTATTGGCAGCACTGAAGAAACCAAGATGGCATCTACTTCTGTCAGCTGCATGGAAAAGCTGGCAACGATGTCTTAGTCAGGTCTTGTATGGAAAAAAAAAAAAAGTAAAATAAAAAGGCAACCAAAAGCAGGAAGAAAGAGGGGCAAAATTGTAAAAACTCTCAAAGAAGCCAAAATAGATTCTAAAAAAATAGCAATTACATTCCAGAATAGCGAAGAACTGTGAAAGAGTAGAATAGTAGCAGAGTAGAACTGCATCTTGAACCAAGACTAGAAGCTTCAAAACAAAGTCAAAAATAGTGAAATTGTATTTTGCTATAAAACTCATGCTATGCTAGCAACATTCTTGTTACCAAATATTCTTAACTGCTTAGTGTTTATGAGGATTTGAATATTTTGCATAACATTATCCACTAAGATAGCTTTTATTTTTTCTTCCTAAATGCCCTTAATGCTTCAAAGAAAACAAAAGCAAAAAGTCCTGAGCAGCCTAGTCAAAAGGTAAACACCAACTTACACAAAATAGAAACCTAAAGAATGTATATTCACAACTACTTTTTACTCCTGTAGTATTTCCTAGCATGACACATGGTATTTTAGTCTCTCTACCAAAGCAGCCTTTCTATTAAATCCTTTTAGTACATCATTAAGCAATATCCATTTTGAGACAAAGCAATCACACAAAACATACAACGTTAATATCTACTCCTATGTTTACTTGCAAATAAATGTGCACTTTGCGTGGATTTCCGTGAGCCTGTTCCTACCTCAACTGCAACATCTCCTATTCTCATTTTTTTCCTGTTACTTCTCTTGCTTAGCTGCTTAAATCCTGCAATTTAACTTCAGTGAGAGGTTGAATAACTTAATATTTATGCCCCAAACACTTTGCTATGCTGGGTCTTTTTCTTTTAAAGGTTTTCTTCCCTGATAGACCAAAATAATGTATCAGAGTGAGATTAAAAAAAGTTCAGAATTTTCTTGTATTGTCATTCTGATTTGAAGACCATGCCTGCTGCAGGAATGACAGTCCATATAAACCACAACTGTGGCAAGGAAGGGCTACATTTAGACAACCTGCAGTGAACAATACACTTGATCCCATTACAGTGAATTACCCCACAGATATTCTCTTCTGGGTATAGGGTACAAAATAATGTCAAATGCTTCATTACAATATAAAATATATGATTTGACAAACCTGCTAAGAGAGGTTCCCCAATATCATAGTTTGGGAGCTGCAGGAAGAAAATATCTCAGAGCAAAATCTGCAATGCATGCTATGTGCATTAACTTGTTTCTTGATAGTTCAAAGTAAAACAAAGAATTATAAATGCACTCTGTGAAGAGAAGACCTGAAACCACAAAATGATAATTCAATTCAAGGTTACAGGAGATAAACTGTTTTGCTACTAATTTAAAAGAGACAAATTATGCATTTGTTCCCCATCTGAGCTACTTGAGCTTGTCCATTCCATTTCACGTAGAGCTTTGCTCTTGACAGTCTGTGGGGTCAAAAATTAACTTCTTTCTTAGTGGCTGCCATTTATTTATTTATAAACATGATATTGCAAACCTGAAAGCACTCAACCCTTTTTCTAAGGCAAAGGTCAACTTTAATTCTACTGTGCCTCTTACCAAAACTGACTGACAAAGGAAAGCTCAGATAGCTCAGGAAATTGGTAATGAGATACAGTGGTTTTCATCTCTGGGTCACTAATTCTAAATTGACTAAGGTCAACAGTAATCAAAAGTCATTAGCATTTAATGATCCTTCCGTGCCCTGTGAGAATGAAGCTAGTGATCTTAGCACACTTCAGGAAAACCACCACTACAATCAGCACTCACATGCTGCCTGCTTCAAGGGAGAGGTCAGATCAGATGACTACAGACAGAACTTCCAATCTTGCAGACAGATCTCACCTCTGTAGACAAACCTTTTACTAATTTTAACTTGGCTCACAAACCACTATTTTCAATAGTTATATTAATACGGGTTCTCTGAGGGGCAGTAAGCTGCCTAGTCCTGCTCCTTCACATCAGCAGTTCCCAAATGCCTTTGATCCCCTGCACATAGTAAGTCTAAAGAATGCAAATGCAAACAGGCATTCCTCCGAG